GAGAGAGAGAGAGAACGGATAGGAGAATGAAAGGAGACACTGGTAGAAATGACGAAAGAAGGGTAAGGAGGAAGGGGTGGTGGGGAGCGAAAGCCAAGTCACAAGGGAGCAAGGCAGACGTACGAGGGAAGCGAGGAGTGAAAGATATTGGTAATCGAGGAATCCGGGAACTCAGAACCGTTCGAACGGTTGCCGCTGCTGACAGACGCAAGGTCGTTGTCCTTGGGGGATCAACGACCCCTCGATGAGGGAGGTGACGTAGTGGGGATATCGTATGCGTCGTCGCGCCGCCTCCCCGACATCGCCGACGTCTGGGTATAAGGGCACCCCCACGTTGAGACTGTGTCAGAGTCAGGGTTAGAGTTGGTCCGATAGAGCCACTACGGTGGTCTACGTTACCGATTAACCCCGGTTCAACGACTCCTTTCTTTCTTCTAGAGATTCTGAATACAGTGCGAAATAAAAAGTGAGTTTATCCGCCAATAATATATCAATAGTTGACTCCTTAATAACACTTATACGCGTTATTTTAAAATAAGTATTTTCCACCGTTACAAGGTTTTCACAAAATATGATTTTATTTATGATATATATATTTTTATTCTATCTCTCGAAATGCATAGAAAACAATAGAATCGATTTAGCATAACCGTGGTAAATATTAGAAATTTATCGAAGATGAATTGTTACTATGAATGTTACTAAACAGGACTAAAACGCAGATTAAACAGACTAAAGAGAAAAGGGGATGAGATATGTTGGAAGGGATGAGGAGAGAGAACATCCGGATAGTTTGAAAGTACCAAAAGAGGAAGATGAAGAAGGGTTGAATACACTTTTATTTTTAAGCGAGGGTGCGGTGTAACCACCTGTTGAGGTGGTGGCGGCAGCTAGGGACTTGTTTTTCGTGACTGTTTATTTTTGTCCGCAAGTTAATTTCGAATATCCTGCGGCGCATCCGCGGATTGATAGTGTGCCGGAGCGTGTAGACCTTTTCTCTCATAGCAGGGGACAAAAGGAATGAAGTAGCGAGAAGTACACGCAAGATGAAGCACGATATAGAGCGTTCTAAAAAGACACATTTGCTCTTCAGCACTTATTAAATGTATGTTAAAATAATAAAATATAGGTATATACACGACGATGAACAGTGTCGAAAACACTGAAATATTAAGAACGGAGTATGCCACATATAATTACGGTGCTATTTTGACATGAAAATGCTTCACAAAAGGTCATATCGCTCATTTGTTGCAACAATGGCATAATTCCAAATGCCGTTTTTGATGAGTTATTCGTATAGAAAGAACGGTTTTTGCTTGCACTTTCTGTTTACTGCTAGAACGATACTACAATACTTTTGCCTCGCACTACAATATATTATTATACAATATAGCATTTCAAAATGATGTTCTCACCAAAATTATAACGATTCAAAACATTAAAACTCGTTTTCTGGAAAATCGTGATTTTCGAGTTATGTCACTGTTGCAGCAAATGAGTGACATGTATTTATCTTAATTCAACCTCAACTCGAGATACGCCGATGTCCTCGATATATATATCTCGATACATGTTCCAGTTCCGTGTGCGGAGCAGTTCGCCGGCGTCCTTTCGCGTTCTTTCGCCAGAAGGACTCACGTCGGTATTACGCTCTACGCGTGAGAGTGCAGGACAACGTGCAGAAGAAGGACGGACGGGCGTGGATCCTTGGGCTGGACACGGAACGCCGGAGCGGCGGAGCAGAGCAGGGCACGTCAGGCCAAGGGAGCAATGTCCCTTCAGAGTTATCCCCTTCCTCGAGCTATCGCGCGTACTTGCGACGGAGAGGTATGTACGCCGTTACTTGCTTCCATGCGCACTCTCTCTTCCCGGTCACGGCGCGGTCGCTCGCTTTTTATGGCAGAGAGCCGCAAGCCCGAATATCTCTTGTACGAGGCTTTCCCGAAAGAGTTTCCCGCCGCATACGATTTCACGTTTCAACCCCACGCAGCAGAGCGGTTGCGCGTATAAACAGCCAGCGAGATTTTCGTTGAGCTCTTTGATTGAGGTGTGTAATAAAAGAAAAAGAACGCAATCTATGATTATTATTAGCGCTTGTCAAAATAATACAATTATACTTTTCCCACACATATCTTTTTCTCTAACAAAGAATTATTTTACGCTTCAATTTTTATATAGAAACAAATTTTAAGATCGTAAAGGAGTCACATGTTAAAATATTGTCTAATTATAAAAATTTTATAGATTATTTTAGTAAATTAATTATTCTGAATATCTAAACTAAGCCTAGGCACAGTTCTCTAATTCGAAAGCTGTTTAATTTCTGTTTACATAAATTTTTATGGCAAGTTGTGTACTACAATATTTATTGACAAATTTGACAAAGAGGAAATATTATCAGTCAGGTAAAATTTTTCATATATACTAGCAGAATTCTGTCAAATATTCGTACAAAGTTTCATTGAAATTCATTAATTGAGTATTGCATCTAGAGGATTTGTGTAAAACACCCCCTTTCCAGAACTGACTTTTTTTCACTTACGATGAGTTGTCCACGACGATCATCACGAATGACGATCGCGCGAATTCCATCCGCAGACGCGAAACGGATGAAAGGAGAGCTGGCACGCTGTTTCTTCCACCACCGTGATTTCTCGGAATATCCTTTGCGGTTGACGGTGCGGATAAGAATATCTGGGCGTAAAGCAACGCGCAACATCTTGAACCGAAACGATGCAACTGTTCGGCGAGCTATGCAGACCTACTGCTATCTCGTCTTTCCTATTTACCTCAATTTCAGAACCCTTGACCTCGGAAAGGCCGCGCGATGCTAGAGTCTTCAAGTACCGCTTGCCAGCCGAAAAAAAGAATATTGTTCACGTCTCCTTGGATGTAGTCGATAGCTGCTAAGATAACTATAAATTTACGCATAAGGCAAATTTACGCATTCTGCTGGACAAGGTATTCAACGGAAGTTCAAAGTGGTATAATTTTGAAACATCAGTGTGAAGTTAATCGAAGAGTCTAATAAATAAAGTATGTTGATTTAAACTTACAAGCAGTTTAATAAAATCGTGAGTTTTTTCAATCGTAATTTTCAAACTGGTCAGTAAATCCGTATAAAACTTTGTACGAATGTTTGTTTGATTTTTGTTACAGTATATAAAAAATTTAATTTGGTTGGCAATTTCTTGATTATATTTGTCAATAAATGTTGTGGTATACGATTTGCCATAAAAAAATGTTGTGTAATATAAATATTAAATAGCTTTCAAACTAATTAGAGCATTTTGCACAGATAGTAATAATAATAAACCATAAAATAATTGATGAAATTTTGGTGGTTTTGTCAATGTTTTAATATATGTGACTAAGACATTTTTAATTATCTTATGACGTTGCATCATTGATATCATTAATGTTATTTTAGAATTTTAGAACAAAAATTTTACAAACTTTTTTTCTTTGAATTATCGTAATAATCCGAGGTTGGTAGGAAAATATAATAATTCGATTTTTAGACTTTTCAAAATTCGTGTTGCTAGATTAATTGTTGAGAAAATTTAGAGCATTCAGTTTCGATATGCAGATCTTATATTTAATTACCTCGTATGATAGGCGTCATCGATGTAATATTAACAAAATTGTCGATTACGTTGAGAAGAATTCAAACAACATTGTAAAAGAGTTAAAACTTAATCTTTCCGAACCGCATATGGTACCCAGTTGAAAACGGTACTGTTAGCGTGTCGTAACACGAATCTTATGTGGACACTAATTAGGACTATTGAGGAGGGAAACGGAGCGAAGACGTTCGATATATAGGACGCTACCCGTTAACTCTTTGCCGGCGGTATGATTGCGCGTCGCATTAACATTTAACATTAACACTGACCCGTACCCTACTAGTCTTTCTGCTTCTCTTTAACGAGAGTTTATCCTTCCCATCTCCACTCACTTGTTTCAAAATTGTGCAATAATATGCAAAATTCTTAAATTAAACAAAAATTATAAGTAATTTACAACATTATATTACCACAAGTGGAAATATTTTTAAATATTAGTTACCAGCTAATTCAATAATTACTCTTATTCAATCTGAGCAATACTTTTTATTTGCATATACTCGGGTTCGTGGCTCAATTTTACGCTCCATCTCAAACAAATTAAGATGAGAATTTTATTGCTATTATATATATTACATTTTTTTCTATTGAATTGTTTGGAAAGTTCGCAGGAATATTTTTAAAAATTCAAAGACAATATTTTTATATTTAGGTATACCTTTAGTCAATAATGTATTGGTCAATTTTTGTCGGTGACTTTCTTCCGTCTTTTAGGCAGTTTCATAATTCTATCCTTCCAGAACTTTCTATCTTTCTGGGAGAAAAACTGTTCAACATAATTTGCTCAATCCTCACGAAAGTTTCGAACCGAATATATCGTTTTAATGAGTCATCGAATCGGGCCTCAAGAGGAGATCTTGCTAAGAAATTTCTGATACTCGTAGTCAGACTATTAAGACAGAAACTCGTGTATGCAGAAGATGGGGAAAGACATTGTTAAAATATTGCATATTTATTATATATCATATAATCGATTTAGTCTCCAAAATACAATGATTGTATTTTTTAAATACCGGTCACTGCAAAAGCGTGTTTCGAAGTATGAAAGAATCATTGTAGATCGTATGTAACGGAGAGCCACGCTGGAAGGCAACGAGTCGAGCAAGACTCGGCAAGACACGAGAGAGGGCTTGGCTCTGTTTCTCTCTCTTCCTCTCACTTCCTCTCACTCTTTTTCTCTCTCGGGTTCGTGGTTAAGTCGCGTCGACCGTCGCCACGGCCGTTTCTCAACCCTTTCGCGGTTACGTCACGTTAAAAAAGCTATTTGGGGTCAAACACCCCGCGCAGCGGCGACACGTGTAGCACTTCTTGGTCCCCGCTCCCTGCTCCGACGCCCTCCACCCCGCGATAACGCGAAGATAGCCCTCTCTGTTCCTCGCCGGCTTCTTTGCTCGCGTGCGCGCTCGCAGGCGATGACGCCATTGCCACCACTTTCTTCCCCTCTCCTCGCCCGTCTACTTCAAGTGTCCCTTCTACTCTTGTCGAGGTTTCTAAGCTCTCTACAGGGTCAAGATTCCGTTTCTAAATACATGTGATATCAAGGATCGAACATCGATAATGATGTTTACGATACATTTTTATCATATTGATACACTTTTACTCTCTAGATTTATATGGATGTGATACCTATTTTTTTTTTATATATTTCAAGAAAAATGTGTAATACAAGAAGGAAAATGTATAATGCAACACTACAAAGTAGAAAAAAGAAAATAAATTAAGTTTTTATCACAAGCGTTAATCTTCGTAAAAAATAATCATAATATTCGATTTTTCGATAACTTTTCTTACACACACAAAGAGAGAAAAAGAACGAAATATTAGAAAAGAATAGGATGACAGAAAGTAGAAAAAGAGAGGACGAATCAGCCCCGAGCAATACAGCCCTGGCCGTAGGCGCAACACAGAATGGTAGGAGAAACAATCGCCGAGTTTCTCGGCGAGCGAGCAAATAAGTGTGCGCGCACACGCTTCAATCTAGAACTCGCTAGAGTCTTGCTAGAACAAAGTTGAGGATACTAAATGAACGGCAATAGCAGCCAGAGTCGAACGATAGTGACGGCGGTGGCGGTGGCAGAAGTAGTGATGATTCCCCTTCACCCCTTCATCTATATCGAACACGAGTTTATCTATCCCTTCACCACCTCTACACTGCCATCATCTTCCTCGTCCCCTCCACGGCAGCGACGCTCCTGCCAACGCTGCCGCCGCCGTCACCGCCACCACCACCGCCTCCATCGCTGCCACCGCCACCGCCGCCGCCGCTACCACGAGAGTCTCTCCGCAGCTTCCCCTTCCATACATTTTTTTTTATACGCCTATACTCCTCTCTCGATCATCGTGACAAGGCGACACTTTCTGTGCTTTTTTATCCATCGAGAAGATCGGGATTTTGCAACTGTATTGCGCCTTACATGTTTACAATTGCTCAGACGCGAGAAAACGAGAAAGAGAGAAATTCTAGCCTAGTTAAAAATTATATATAAATACATTATATATCTATACATATTGTCATAGACAAGGGAGTCTGCATCTCCCCTTGTTTTCGTTCGCTCATGGTGAGAAACGCGCGAAACAACGCGCGGGCGCTCCGTTAACTCGTTTGTCGAAGGTTGAGAGGGGCAGAACGGAGGAGGTCGCGCAGAGTGCGCGCGACATGAAATTGCAGCGACGGCAGCATGCGTTTGCGACGCGGAGCACGCGTGTCGGGGTGAACGTGTCGCAATCTCAGCAACGTTACAATTTAAACGAGATGACATACTAAAGGCTTTTAGGTGTGTTTTTGGCAAAGCGTTATTTTCTCTTCATTGACATAGGATTTTGGATTACTGAACAAGAAATATATATATATATATATATATATATATATATATATTCAGAGAGAAAGAGAGAGAGCAAAGTACCCCATCAGTAATCAATCTCAGTCGACGGAGAGAGCTGACTTAAATCAGTAACAGCCAAATTTCAGTCGGCAATGGCGAACATCGGGTAGGTTGGCGCATAACTTAAGATTCCGTTGCGAAGTGACTTCGTAGCGGCGACGGTGGTTTGCAGAGAGAGAGGGAGGGAGAGAGAGAGAGAGAGAGAGAGAGAGAGAGAGAGAGAGAGAGAGAGAGAGAGAGAGAGAGAGAGAGAGAGAGAGAGAGAGAGAGAGAGAGACGAACGTGGTTCCGTATTAACTTCGTATAGCATACATTATACGAAGTTATACGAGGTTGACGGTGCGGATAAGAATATCTGGGCGTAAAGCAACGCGCAA